ATATATATATATATATAGATAGATAGATACATACATACATACATACATACATATACACAGAGAGAGGAAGTTTTACATTCTAGCTCTATAAATATAAGTGACAGTGATATATATATATAGCAAGGAAATAAAATAGGGATAAGTATTACCTGGAACATTCTTAAGTAGAGAACTTAGTATCTTAACAATTTTCAATTCAGTGCCATTTATCTGAAGATCTTCACACACATTGGCTTCCCTAAAACACAAAATGAAATTTAATTAACTAAGATATTAAAATGTTACATATGATATATAATTACACTACAAATAAAACTTAGCACAGATATTACAGTACCTCTTCAAAAGGTTGGCAAACTGTGTAATAAAACAGCATTAATGGAAATAAAGTTTGAGCTGATGACTGGGTATTGATTTGGTAAGTGCTAGCAACATGTAAGCAACTGAGCTCTGGCTGAATTGGTTCACTTCTTATAGGTTTATAGTGCAATGAAATTAACTATAAATCACATCAGTCATGTGAAGCATATCAGCATATCAACAAGATAAAACTCTTTGCCATTGATTAACTTTTCAAGAACTAGCTTCTCTAAGGATTAGAGTTATAAGAGCAAGATAATTCTTGATGATGAGAGCACTTTACTGTACAATCTCAACTTGGGTAATAGCAGTGGTGTAGTGCTAAATAAAAAAGTGCCAGAATGCAAAATTTCCTGTATAACCATATAAAGTGATATTCATTCAAAATATTGAGGGAATGGCATTCCAGCTATAAAACAAAAGTACATGCCCATTCGTTCCCACCCACTACAGCTCTGGCTAATAGACAGGAAGATTATGTAGTTATATATCTTTATATGGCAGAAGACAAAATGCCAGTAGCAAAGTAGTATAATTATTTTAATGATTAGCCATGATACTGACATCAGCTCCTAATCATTAAGGATGGAATTAATTGTTAACCTGCAGTTAAAATAGTTGATTGATTAACAAATCAATAAATGAAAGAAAATGGTATCCTTGTTTCAGAGCTATCAAGTGGAATTTTACAGTGTCAGGGTTTTAGGTATGTGGGCTTGGATTCTTTTACAGTAGGTGTCTATAAGTTGTTGACAATAAATTCAAATAATAAACAGACAGCACGCAATATATTCAAAACAAGTCAAATGTCTGTACAGAAATTCTTGACAGGATAGGATAACACACTTTTATCTAAAACTCTAAATAATTCTCTTTTCCTGTTAAAAGTCCACACAGGCTTATTCAATTACTTTAGAATCCAACTGACAAGATGAATTATTTTTCTCTACTCTGTTTCTTACTATATAACCTGAAATAAGTTCACTTACATTACCCCACGGGTTACCGCTGTTGTACTCAGAACTTTAAATAATTGTCTCCATTTTGTCAAAGTCCTCACAGACAGGTTTAATTACTTTAGAACACCCTTTGACAAGAGAAATTATTCTCCTCATCTCTGTTAAAATGTGAAACTCACTTGAAAATATCACCCATTACAGCTAAACTAACAATCATGCAATTTAGCTTCATTTTCACTAACTTAACTTCTTCTGACTTCTTTTGTTGGTTACCACAGTTGTATTCAGAGCTTTAAATGATTGTCTCTTTTTCCCTCAAAAGTGCACCCAGGCTAGTTCAGTTACTTTAGAACCCAATTGACAGGATAAATTATTTTTCCTACTCTGTTGTTATGATACAGCTGTGAAACACACTATAGAAATCATCTGTTAAGGCTAAACACACTCACATGCAGGATAACTTCCACATTTTCTTTCACTAACTAACTTTAGTCAGTTGCACTCACTTGGTCACCTATATAAGAATTTTCTATAAACTACAAGACTCTTTGATGTAACAATACTCACTTAAGACAACAATAAAAATACAGAAGATTCAAGTAATGTGATGTCAATTTACAACAATTGAACTACACACACAAAGTACAACTCTTATCAAGTTATGCAATAAAATTTTAAAATAACTTTTAACACTGTTGTTATAAAAACTAAACAATTGTTATTAGATCACTAAATGAAATAAATAATAACTTTTACACTAAACAGTCTTGTATATCCAACATACAGTAAGATGTCTACAAGATACTCTGTAACAATTTCTCAATTACAGTACAGTAAAAATAATTGGATGATTGAAATATTTATCTATTGAAAGGGCAGTTTGATATTACTTTACAATTACAAGCTATTGAAATATATTTAGTAGTGAGACACTGGTAATGACATATTGCAACAAATGCTTGATACATCTAGAACACTACAAACTTTCTTTCTGACTTAACAATGTGATATATTAGGATTCTTGCTCAAGTATTCCATTTGAATACACATCTTCCTCTTTCTCCAGCTCCAACAGCCAGAGAACTCTGGTAATACATGGATGCTAGGCAGTGAAGTAAAAGATCTCAGCACACTATAATGGTGAACAAAGTTTTGGATTTCATCAATTCACTTGTGCTTGATTCTTTCTTTGTTGCCCATGTTCATTTTATTATATACAAATTATTTCATGAAACTTCTACTTATTTAAGATCTTAATATATTTCTACTGGGCATCAGTGAATGTGAATACCACAATACTAGCTATCTACAAATTATTTATTAAATTATTACAATTTATAATATCTGTTAGGTTTTAATACTTACATTTCACGCAGAATAATTGGCAAAAAATTTTGCAACACTGGTTTCCAGTAATCCCATTTAAATTGTAGAAATGATGTTGGAGCATCTCTAATCCATTCAATTACTGATGAAATTATTTGAGCTGTAACTCTTCCATATCCCAAAGTGAACATACGTCTCATTTCAAAGCCGAAGTCTGAACCCTAATCAACAAATCACAAGCATGAAATACAAAATCTAATGAGAATGTTATAAATATTAAAACAACCCTTTCTTTATATTTCAAGAACTTTCAAACATACGAGTAACATTGTGTAATCATAGCCATAAAATCATTTAGTTTTCTGGACCCAACACTGCCATTAAATTTCTGAAGGTATTACTGTATCACTATGTAATGGTAAAAATAAATACTTGCACTTAAGTTACATACAGACAATAGACTTTCTATGCTTATACTTTTCAACCAAGCTTGACGTGCATCCTTATGCCCCCCCCCCCTCAAAGTATGCCCAGGGAATTGAGTTTTATTCACTATTTACAGAACTTTAAAAAAGTATTTTCTATATTATTAATAACTAAAAAAATTTAAGAAGACACTCACGTTTAAATAAATAAACATGTATATGATTAGTAGGTTATAGACTGGAAATATTTTATCAAGACAGTATTTTACTTTGAAGGCAAGAAATACATAAACATTTTCCAGAAAATAGGTTAATATATGTAGCATAATATAAACTGATTCTCTAAAATGACCATGCTTTGTTAGAAACTTTTGATGAGATACCATAACATGTTTATTCATAAATTAATTAATGTTTTTATAAAAAGAACTGAACCAAAAATTACAATTAAATTATTTTTTTACAACTATACAAAACAGTTTTTTTAAGCGGTAGTAAGAATAATAACTAACAGTTTATTCTATTTTTTCAATCATACAATTTTTGAGATATGACACAATTATGAATTATTTCTGATAAAAACATCATTACTTCAGGGGTATCCTCAGACAGGTGTGAGAAGAGTAGCCACACGAAGCCCCACAGTTATAGAGAAATTTTTTAATTAAACATTTTTTTTCATATTTGGTCCTTAATCTTTTTCATTCTATACTATTGATTATATTTACCAATCATATTATATACAGAAGTAAGTTTAATGCTACAGACAATAGCAATTTTTATCCATTGATACAGAATTGATGTATGATTAACTATCACATTTTACTGGACTTTTACTTACACCAATTTAAAGTTTGCTTTACAATCCTTAAGTAATCATGAGAAAAAACATGTTTAAAGTGTTTATCCAGTGTGCAACATTTTTACAAAGAGCCTTTAAACATAAGACATAATAGTAGAACTTCAGCTACCCTGACACTGGAAATATCACTGAACTCATGTAATCAGTGTTTGTTGTTGTTAATTTATATTTTCACTAGGCTTTTGTGTAACACCCTTTAAAGATATCATGAATTAAATTTTTAAGCATTATATTTTTATGCTTTTTTATTTAAAGTTTATTTTATGAGATTCTTGTAGAAGGTGGATGGTTGACAATTTAATTGTGACCACAAAATAGCGCACTAATTTTAATATTTTCAGCCAATGGCTCTACACTTGTCTCAGGCCACCCTTGCATTACTGAAAGATAACTTCTGAAGCACATATTTTAAAACTACATTTCACTAACTTTGAAAGAACAACATACAATGAAGGTTAAAGGTGAACTTACTCCTAAAATGTAACTCCAGAAACCATTTTCAAAGAAAGGCCACATTTCTTTTTTTTTCAAAATAGCAAGCAGATTTTTTTCCAACATTTCTAGAGGACTGTCACAAATCTTGTACATGTTTTTAACAAAATATTTATTGGAACTGTCAAACTTGGAGTTTTTCACACGTTGGCATGATTTGTTTAAGTGGTCAGGATAACGATTAAAATACTCAACCTAAAAATGAAAATTCAATGAACTTTTATTAAAAAATATTCTAATTTTAGTAGTCCTTACTATCATATAAACAAATTCTGCCTTTCTTATTGTTATTATCCTTTTAGAATCTTATTAAACAAATATCTCTTATCACATAAGTTGTTTTTCAAATATATTTAAAAAACACTTTAAAACTCAATTAGCAATTCAAGATGAAAGATTTAATGTAATTATAAGCATAAAGATCTACTATTGTTACAAAGATACAATTGATTACTTGCTTTTAATTGGTAAAAAACAGGCAAAGATAAGAGAAATGAATAAAAAAAATATTGTTATGAAATGTTAACATAGCTTTTTTTATGTTTTTTTACTCATATTGGCATGATTGAAATATGTTTGCTGTTTTATGTATGTTTAACATGATAAACAATACTGAAATTTTCAATAGGCGATTTCTTATAAATGTTTTATTTTGTATTATTAGTGTGGTTATTTTTTGTGGAGTCCAAATATATTATAAGTTTAAGTACAAGAAATGACATGTAACAACCACTACCATAGTCAACACATATACTTAACATTTTGGAAAACAGGTAAGATGGGTGTTCTCCTAACAACCAAATATAATAGAGTAAATCCAAGTTAGATCTCATAAACCATTCAAAATTTAGGATTCTTGAAATAATAAAAAAATTATAGTTAAATATTCCAATAAATAAGAAGTAAATAAAGTTTGAAGATGGCCTAAATGGGTAGTGAAAGAAACTATTATAAATGTGCAACGTTTTGACAAGTTTATGTCATCATGATGGTGACACAAGCTTGTCAAAATGTTCTATATTTGTAATAAAGTTTCTTTCACTACCCACTCCAGCCATCTGCAAACTATTTTCTGAAAAGTGAATTCCTCATCACCAAAAATGAAACAAGTATTTACTTATTACACACTTTTTGTAAACTGTTTATGAATTGCCTGTTTTCTTAGTTTTATTTAATAGAATATAGTACATGTTTCTATGCCAAAAAATTTTTTTAAATCTAGTGATACAACTACATTATTTGGTGAATGTTATGAAATAAAAAATAATTTTCTTAATCAATAAGAACTTCTAAGGGTATAATATAAATATCTGACAAAATTCTACATGTAACTTACAATGTGTTTCACAAACTGGTGATTATCATAAGAAGAGAAGTTTTCATAGTTCATCAAGCCCTGCATTCTCTCTTTCAGGAGGGATTTATTTGTTAAAAGGTCATATACTCCAACATCAGATACTGCAGTGCATAAAAAGATTATGTCACATATAATCCAGAGACTATGAAGTATTTCATAAAATGTGTAATATAAATATATATACATAGCCTATCACTACTACTTACAATAACTTGATTTAAGAAAGTAATGCATATTGGAAAACAAGTTATATTAGGAATAGGAATTAACAATAACCCTAAAGACTGTTCTTAACTACAAGCAACAATTCAAAGAATTTTTGTATATTTTTTGTGATGTTATATACAAAATCTACTTTGTATTGAATTGAGTTCATTAAATAATTTTAAGTGTGTTCTAATACAGCTTAATAACTGTCTATTTGAAAGTTGTCCACCTACAAGTTCGACATCTAAAATAATTAAACACTATTTTTAGTTTTTAATCACAAAAACATACTTATGAAATGGTCATCTTTTAAATTTTTTGTTAATCATGTTACAAAGTACTTAACTAAGGTAAATCTTTCACATCATCTTGGTTTTCTTTTTCAATTTTTTTTTCCACTAAGAAAAAACTTCCATTTAGTTAAAAATCTTTTCTAATGAATCCAGACTGCACAATACAAACCCCACAACAGATTCTTAATATGAACTAACCTTGTTCCCAAAAATGACTGAGAACAATCCCTTCACGAAACAGGCCCATGGAAATGGGTAAATGTTGCCCATATGTAGCTTTGTCAATAATGTGGAGTAAAGTCATCACAGAGAGACTCACACTATAAAAAAAAAGCAATAGTTTTGTTTATCAATTTTCAAAGTAATCCATGGCCAATATGAAAATACATGCTTTAACCTTTTTCATAGCCTAAGCTGCCTTAGTTGCTCTCGTTTAACTTTTGTATTTAAAATACACAAAAAGCTCAGAGAAAGTCAAATAACATACCATTACATTTGTTTGGATGAATGTATCAATATTTAAATCAAAGTATTTCCTGCACTACAAATAAACTGTTCATTAACACAAACTAAACTTCTAGTAATTTGTAGATCTATTTCTTTTAAGATTGATAAGTAACATCATTTACCATGAGAGTGTTGAAATGAACACATCTTTATAAAGGCTTACCTGTTGGTGAGAGTATATGATTGTTGTTCTAAAAATTTCTTGGCTATAATTTCCCAGGTGGTTAGGTTATAGAATGTTTTGATATTACTATCAATCGAAGGTGGTTTTCTTGCCAGATCACGTGCCGTTTCTGCTAGATCTTCTAGTTTTCTAACCAATCCTTTCCAATCAACATTGAGCTCTGAGCCATTAGTAGAATACAGTGAGCCCTGCAAAATATTATAAACTTATTAAACTTTCGAATACAAATTCTCAGCCTTTAGACTGATACAACTAATGTCAGCTAAACACAAATTTTAAATATTAAAAAAAAAAGCATACATCTTATGAATTTTCATATGTAACAAGTTATACAGAAAATACATTTAGACACAAACAAGTATCTAACAACTAGTATAAGACAATAAATTAGCAATAGCCTTTCATAAATATACCATTATTTGAAAAATAATTGAAGGACTCTTAAAATGTCCATGAGTTATGTGATTACAATCAGTTCCTTTAAAAACAGTCAACAGAGGAAACTAAGGCATTAAAGTAAAACAGATACTTTCTGAACACTAAACATTCACAATAAGTCTGTCAAAGTCGAAGCAATTATAAATACCTCAGTTCCAAAGAAATCCAACCCTAGCTGGCTCGTCAGCTCTTTCAGTATAATATCCTTATTTGCAGAACACAAAGAATTTTGAATCTCTTTCAGACTATTGTTTGCTTTCACAGTTAATGCCATCCACACCAAAAAGTCATTAGAACAGAAAAAATCTGAGGTTCCATTCTGAATCTTTTCTAGTAAACTTCCTATCTATTATAAATAAACATAAGATTACTGATATATTTGAAACAGTTTTCAATAATAGTTTGCTTTTTTTTTTAATGGATATATAAACATCTGATTCATATCAAGAAGAAGAATTTCAAAATGATACTTCTGCAATTCACTAAGGTGTGGTATTCCATTTTACAGCATGTATAAACTATATTATAAAGTACATAATGAAGCTACTAATTAAACATTTCATTTCAAATTGTGTTATAAATGTTGTAAAGTAATAAAAACAAATGAAAATAAGTATTTTCTATATTAATCTACATGATGTGTATAGGTAAAACATACTTTCTGGGGTTGAACTGTCAAGTTGAACAAGGCTTCTACTATTTCCGGACGAACAGTAAGAGTAGTTTCTAGGATATGACGAAGATGTGTGGCATTTTTAAAAAGGTTTCCAAGACTTATTTTTTCTGATAGAAAGAAAAAAGCAGTATTTTATTTTCAAAGAAAAACCATACATAGAGATAATAGTTCTAATCCACTATAGAAAAACATACATAAACTACAGTCTTATTTGGCAGATATAATCTGTCCTGTGAGAAAATGATACCAAAGGATAATCCTCTATAATATGGATTAGTAACATAGAATAAATATAATCAAAATAACATTCATTTGCATAAAACTTTTGAACTGAAAAATAAGCAAATAAGTATGTGATATTTTAATATCTAATCATATCTTCTTATTTCTAATTAAACTAACTTCTGTAATAACATATCATAAAGAAAAACACTGTTAAATTCATTAAGAAATTTTCTATGTATGCCACAATAAACAGCTGAATACTGCAGAACAAATAGGATTTGAAATGTTAAAAACTAGCATAATTTTATTTAAAAAAGAATTGATCTCAATCTGCAGTTCCCAACAGGCCATGATATGGAATTTGTTTTCCCAATGTGAACATACATGTTACACTTTATGAACTAACAGTCACTTGAATAGCAATAAAAACAAAATGGATGAATCTTAATATACAAAAAACGAAGATTTTCATCTTCTAATTTGTAATAGTTAATTACACAGGCTTACATTATAGTTATGCTGCAGATCACTAAGTGTATGATTCCCAAATGACAGACCTTAAATCTCATTTCACTCCTTACTAAAAACTTCAATAATTTCACTTGATTATTGCTATTGCACTCAGTAACTGAGTGTGTGATGGATAGAACTGGAGTCAACAGTTATAAAACAAATGAATGATTAGGTTGGATGGTTGACTTTGTTAGTTGGTATTTGCTGCTAAGGTTCTTTGGTTGATAAAATTGTTGGAATTTCATGTTAAGTGAACACTTAAGTTTTTTACTATTATTATTTCTCTTTTAACTACAATATTTGAATAATACTTAATTTCCAATTACAGCTGGTGACCAGTTAATTCTAGAAGCTATTGGTCTGCATAAAATTTCTATGGGTTGTTTGGGCTAGACAAGTACAAAGGAAGACTTCTGATATACTTACAAATATTTTTTTTTCCTGTTAATGTTTACCATATAAAATTTTTCCCATAAGATTTAGAATTTACTCAGTGTTTGTAAATAAGCCAAGTTCGTTTCTTATGTAAATACTGATGCAATAGGTAATAGATAACCATACAAGACGGTCTCTTATGAATAAAATTTATTATTACCAATGAGGTTCTAGAGAAATGTAAGTTTCCATAGGACAATTAATTTTTAAAACAATCATCATAAAGAATGGGTTTTCTTAACACATTGGACACCATGATAGATATAGATAACAAATATTAAAACATAAGCTCCACCAAACTATCACTTGAAAAATATTTTTCAATTAACTCTCTCAAAATGGGCTCAGTTAATTTGACTGACCACATGACCTCTTTTGTACTCACTTAAAGTCTTTATAGATTTAATATTTCTAACATCCAATATAGTTTGTACATCTTCATAAAATTGGGCAGTCTTTCAGTTAACATTACAAGTCTTTCTAATACAAAAAATCATATTTTTTTAGTGAAGTATTTTAATAAACTAAAATAAAGATTTGTCCATGAATATATTGAGCATTTGTTTTGAATAGTCCATGTGCAAAGTGATTATCATGTTAGGATTAAAAATACTTTTCTTCATCTCAAAGCAAAAATCTTAAATTTCCTCTGTATAATCCCTAAAACTTCCTAAATACATTTCAAACATTTGTGATCAATAAAACTTTATATTCTATCTGTTATTTTCTCTACCCTATCTCTAAACAGGATTGGTCAACTTGACTGACCTCGTAATCACCAAAAAAAAATCTAAATTACCCCTTTTTTTTACCTTTGAACCGTGTCTAACTACTATCTGTGCCATTATAAGTTTTAAATCACTTGAGAAACATGTAGCTCATGTTACACTATCAGATTACATCACCCACAAGCTACTACAAGCTGCTCATGTGTGTGCCTCGTGAAATATTTTTTATTATATTATTATTTATTTTACCTAATCTAATCTTAACTAACCTAAAAAAAGTTTACAATTTTGTTCTTTTATAATAATAAATAAAGAATAAACATGAAAAACAAAAAATAAAGTACTTACCAAATCTTTTTTTTTCTTTCTCTTGACTGTCAATGAAACTTAACCCTAGTTTATATACTAATGGTAGTAATGCACTAAATTATTTTTATTTAATTAAATAATGCACCAAAGAGTATAGACTAATAACACGCAAAAAGTAGACAATCTCTCCCTAACTCTCAAAATTTTTCTGGCTTTCTAACTATGTAAAAAGACCCATTATAAATTCATCCAAGCTAGTCGTTAACTTTCTATGGGAATGAAGCTTGTACTCCGAGTGAAACTGACTTTCTATTGGTTATAGGTAATATATAATTAAACATAAAAGAGAACAATTAACAAAGCCCAAAAGAGAGTATGTAACAGGTAGATGTGTCAGGAAGGATGTGCTTTCCTATTTCATAGCTCTGTAACCAAACAAAATTGAAGATTATAAAAATTATGGTTTGTCTGAACAATGACAATATTATAGGGAGCAATTTACATTTAACGTCATACATTTTGAAGGGGTGGTGGATAAAAAAGAGAAGAGAAAGTGCTTAGAGAAAATGTGTTACAAATGTGTAACACTAGAGCTTTCAGGATATTTTGTAATATTTCTTTATAGAATTAAGAACTTAAAATTTATATACTATTAAAATATGGATTATTAGCTAAGCATTTATGCCATATTAATTGGTATAACATGAACAAAAAGTAGTTGATTAACATTTTGAATGTAAGACTAAAACCTTGTGTCATATGCAGTAAAGGATGCCCATCATGAAGATGTTAAGCAAGTTGAGATTGGTTGGATCTATTAATAGTTATTGTCTATTAACAAGCTTTTCAAAAAATGAGATATAAACCTCAATAAAAAATGTAAATTGAAAAATTAAGGCATAAAATCTCTATATAACTTACTTTTCATGTTCTCCATGTTTTTGATAATAGATGGTAAAGTATATTGGTTTATATATGAGACATAATGCAAGGCTTTTCTGCCATCCTCTGTTCTTTTGAAAACATCTTGGAAATTTTCCAGTACAGCTGTTAAACTGGTGAGCAAAGTATATATAATAATAAAATTAAAAATAGTTAAACTAAATTGAATTGAGTGTCTCAAAAAATTCAAAAGATAATTTTTAAAATGAGACATAAAATAATGTTACTTTGTATTCATCTTTGAGAAAGTGAATTTTTTCTATTTTTTATTTCTATAAACATTTAGAAATAAATAACATTACTACGCTTTAACAACTAAGTATAAGCATAGGAGCTGATGAAAGGACTCAACACATAATCAAGTGTAAAAAACATGACTTACCTGCAGAAGTACGAAAATTATACCCTTGATAACAGTTTATTCTAAATGCTTTTATTGAGAAACAATCAAATCATTAATCAATTTATAGCTACATTAATACAATGTTATGAAATACTTCAAATAAAAACCACAGTACTTCCAGTAAGTAAAAATAAAATTTTTAACCTACAAGTTATAGAAAATATTATAGGCATTATATTACTGACAAATACCCAAATCTCTTACTGGTTTAATGCCAAGTCTATCTGTTGCTTTGCTTTCATATGTTGAAATGATGTCATGTTTTTTAAAGCCTTCTGCCATGCATCTGGGTCAAACTTCTCCGATAGTTTTTCACCATGATATGTAATTTCATCTAATTTAATCTGGTTTTTGAAAGTGTCTACAAGAGTGATTAATTGCTGATACAGACTGGTGAAGTACAACCTTCCTGGTGAGGGGTGTTCACTCTCAAGGATCTTTTTCAACTTTATAATGAACAAATATCAATAATATTACAAATTTACAAACTTAGAAAGTTCGATAATACATAAGTTGAAATAATGTCAGCAAACTTTATAACCACATTAATGACATAATCAGTAAATAAAATATTTATTTTTCCTTATTTAATATAAATATAATTTTATTATATACTTCCAACTTTAAAATCTAATAGTCTACATGTGAAATTTTTTTACTTATCCATATACAAGTTCCTTTTAAATGTCAATAACAAGGCCCTTTTGAAGAAAGCAGAGAGATATGTATACTTACAAACATAAAGTGAAATAAAAAAGTTAATAAGAAGGTTCATTGACATTTTCCTTACATACATTTTTTTACATGTGCTCAAGTAGGCTTTATATCAGTCACATTAACTTTTACTTTCTAAAATTTTTTGTTAGAAAATTCTTAATGAAAGTCTTCGATACTTTCATTACAAATTACTCAAGCAGTTTTATACAAAATTCACTGACCTCAGTCTCAAGTTCTTCAACACCAAACTTCTCTATAATTTCTGTCCATAGGTCTTCAATGCTGATATTGCATGCTAATTCAGTTGTTTTAATAGCAATGTCCTTACTCACAGAAAACTTTCTTTGGAATTTGTTTTCATCACACAAAATCTCCCTCCACTCTTCAGCTGACAAGTTTGTAATCACTTGGACCTAAAGAAAATAATATACTTAATATATTTACTAAAACCACATTATAAAAAATACAATAAGACAGAACTTGAAGAAGAAATTTTTAAAACTAGTATTACTTAGGATTTTTATATATTTTTCAAAGTTTGTTTGTTCTTTTATAACATTAAAAAAAATGAATTTGAGCAACTGCAAGAACTCAATTATTTTAGTGGAATTTTGAATTTGATTAAAATACAGATATTTGAGTATGCCTATTCTCCATCACATTTTCTATATTTTAAACAGTTTAGCAACATATGTATAAGAATACTTACTTTTTGGGGATTTTTTAACAAAGTCCAAAATGATTGTAACACAGATGGAGATGTTTTATAGATAAGCTCAAGTAGAAGCTGTATCTTTTTGGTCTCTGAAACTACAGATGCCAAATCAAAACTCTGACCAGTGATGTTTAACTTTACTAATTCCTCTGTAAGATGACTGACTGTTGATATCATGACCTCCAGTGCTCTAAGATCAGGTTTGTCCCAAACATCCATCAAAAAATAATCCAATACCTTGACAAGGCTATTATAAAGATATAAAGAAAATTAAAATTTATGCTATCATGAAAATAGTGATCTAATACATAATTAAACCATATGACATGATAAACACATTACATATATTGAAACATGCGGTATCATGAACTCAAAGAACAAGATCATTGAAGACAATGTTATTAAATATAATGAAAAAATCATGGCTAGAATATTTAGTATTATTAACACAATAAAATAATCATTGTTAGAGTGCATGGTTTCATTAATATAATGGAAAAAAAAAAAGCTATGATTAGAGTACATGGTATTACTAACACAGAGTTATAATAAAGGAGTAAAAGTGAATAAAATTATGATTAAAACATGTTACTGGGAATATATTGAATACATAAGGATTTTGAAAAATATGCTTAAAATGTGATAACCCACTTGATAAATAAGATAAAATCTGCCAAATATTTTAGGCAGGTTTCTCGCTAGGGTCCCACAGTGAACGGGCCTGGACTCTCAACTTTTTTTTAGGAGTCCTAGCGAGATTTTCAAGGGTTCCATAGGTAGAATTTAATAAACTAAAAAAAAAAGGGGGGGGGGGGCATTTCAGCAAAAACTTTATTTACAACATACACAGCATGTTGTTTCTTTTTATAAGTGCAAAGTAATTTTCATGATGAGATTAAAATTCTTTTCTACACCTGAAAACTTTCAAATATCATTTGCATAACCCCTAAAATCTCCTAAATAAAAAAAAATCTTTTTTTCAGAAAAAACTATTTTATGTGTTATTTTTCTTTACCCTAACTCTATATGAGGTTGATTAATTTGAATGACCTCATAAACACCATAACAAATTAGGAAATAATTATAAATTTCTCCTATTTTCTTTCTGGAATGACTGCAACAAAAAAATAATTGATTATCCTAAGTAGTTTAAAGCTTGTAACAGTATATCTATTTATACTTATTGTTTTTATTGCCCCTTGAACCATGTCTAACTACTATTCACACCATATAAATTTCAGATCACGTAGTGAACATGCAGCTTACATGATGATATAGAATTACATGATGCACAGACTGCTCACGAGTGGACCTCATAGAAAATTATTATTATTAATATTATTATTATCTATTTTACTTAATCTAATGTAAAAAGTTTTCAGTTTTTACATTTTAGTTACTTTTATAATGATAAATAAAGAATACACACAAAAAACAAGAAATAAAATACCTACCAGTCTTTTTATTTTTTTACTCTCGACTGTTGATAAAACTTAACCCTACTTATTATACTAATTGTATTACTGCATTAAATAATTCCTATCTAATTAAATAATGTACCAAAGAACATAGAATAATATCATGCAAAAAAGAAGTAATGTCCAATAACTATCACAATTTTTCTGGCTTTCTATCTGTGTGATAAAAGCTGTTAAAAATTCGGCTAAGCTCATTGATGTGCTTCACACTGGAAGGAAAATAGACAATTCTCTTTACAGACAACATCCTTTGATACATAAAAACGTTTTTTTTTGTTTTTTTTGCTTTAATGGTATTAAATAATATACTCTTAAATGACAGAAAGAACTATTGGCTGGTTCTGAGAGGATGTAGTAGGTGGGCGTGGCAAGAGATTGTCTATTTAATCACTCTGTAGCTAAATAAGATTGAAGGCTATGTAAATTTTGCTTTTCCTGAGTAATGAAAACATTATAAATATTAATTTAAATTAAATTTCATACTTTTTGGAGAGGTGGTAAAAAACTACAGAAGAGGAAAGACATAGATAACAAACGTCACAGTTCTATACTAGGGAAGTATTTTTTTTTTTTTTTTATAAAATTAAGATCTTCAAATTCAAATAATACTAAACTTTGATTTATTATCTATGTTCTGATGCAAAGATTATTCATATACATTGATAATAAAACAGTTTAATTGAATTTTGAATGTAACTCTGTTCAAGGTTGATGAACGGGTTAATCATGTGGCTTTATTTTCAAGCAATTTATTGTCATTGGTGAAACCTGTTAAAAGTTGATTGTGGACAGCTGTGTGCAAACTGTATGCTGTTTAGTTAGTCATAGTAAAAAGTTCAAAGCAAAGTACTTGTGCTTGCCTTGCATATGAGCATTTTGTGATGCATATTTGGTACCAGGGGGGGGTTAACTCACATGCATTCTGACAAATTCTCATGTATACAGGACCTGAGAGTTTGGGATAACTAGAACACTGTTAGGAAAATATCTTGGTGTCATATTTATCTGCAAAATCCTGTCAGAATACTAATATATCCCTCTTTGAAGAGATGGTTAGTGTTTATAGGTTTATTGACTTTTAGTTATTTTTGTAACATTCACCACTTTGTAAAATTGGATGTTTCCTATTGTAAATACATTAACACTTGTAAATATATTTTATTGTTCATGTACTTGTAACCTGGGTGGATTTTAATAGAATATTAGTGGTGTATTTATGCATAGGTTATAGCCTATTCTATTTTTATACAGTTTTATAAAATCTTTTTAGTTCTTTTTTATTATTTTTTCTAATTATAATTGATCTTATCATGAAGATTAGTTTGCATTGTTGGCTAAATGTATAGATTTAGGATTAATCTCCTAGGCTCGCCAAACCACATGATATATTGGAGCTACAATCTAAAATAATGTTAATAGCAACTAAGGGTACATAATTCATTTTATACATTGTAGGTTTTAGTTTTCTAGTGTACAGCTTTATATCATTAAGTATTTCTAGTCAGTTTCTTATACAAGATTTTCTTCAAATGGTCTAGGTTAACATTTATGTCTTTCATATGGGCGTTTTGTGAGTTAGTAGGGGTTTAATACAGAGTGAGAATTAAAGATGTGGAAGAGAAAACTGTGGCATATATATCCCAATATTCTTTATTAGGACAATGTCATTTTATATGTGTAAGTTATTTAAGTAAAGGTCTTCAAATAATTTAGCTTTTATTTCATAGACACACATTGAAGAAAATGATATTTCACGTTGCTTATATACAAATATATCTTATCTGATCCAAAGTAAGCTAACCAAGGAGATCAGAGTTAAATTAATTAAAAATATGTATACAAATAATGTTAAGCTGTATTTTGCAAATATAATGTAAAGTCAGACCACTAGGCTAAGTGCATACAGTTAACTTTATCAAAGCAAAAACAGTCTGATTTGACTGAATTAATTGTAAACTGGAGTGTATAGGTGTCTATTTATAACTAAAATAATATGCAAAAATGAAATGGAAAAATTATGCATGGTGTTAAATGCACAGCCTTCAGATGAAGGTTCACACCTAGAACTCAATCTACAATAAATCCCTTTACAGTTTCAATAGTTTCAATCTTCTAATGGTTACATGTTTACTTGGATTGAAATGGCAGTGTATGAAGCTTCCTTAAGTTACATGTTAAGTGAATGTGAAATACTAAACAATCAAGCCACAAAGTCAGAGTTTCAAATGGAAGCACTTAAAAAGAGGCTTATTTTCCACTTTGAATATTATAGGAGTGGGATTTCTACTGATTTCCATTGCTTCTAGCCTCTATCTGCAGTTTATGCTGCTGAAACAACTAAAACGTAGAGAACACAGAAATCACAATAACAGTAGTCTTTCTCCTCCTTATAAAAATTTACAATTCTGCTACGTTAAATACAGGGTTTTCCCTATCACAGAAAACAATATTATTACAATAATTATCCTTCTTCACTATTACACATCACACTTATACTACAAAAACCAACCTTCTTCCCTGTCATCATAACACACAATTCTATTACAATATTCAACATTTTCCCTAATACAACACACAATCCTGCTACAATAAATCCATTATTTTATATCAGAACACTAAAATATTAGATTTGGTCAGCCCTACTCAACCAGTTGGAAATGTGCAGACTTACTGCCGAAACAATAAGCCATTTCAAAGCATTTGAAAAAAATGATGTTATAGATGAATAATTAATATCAGTTATACATGTGAAAGTATTGGAATGTTCATAGACAAAAACAGAACTGCTCAACATATATATAGGAAATTGTAGATGCACTTCTTTAGTCATATACTTGGACCTGAAAGAAGATAAGAAATTCAGAGGAAGAAGAGTGAGAGGCAGGCAGAATCTTACTTGACATAATGACATTAGAAAATGGACTGGAGATGTGAAGTTTGAATTAGTAAAGTTGATACAGTCAGCAAGGAAGAAAAAAAAATGGAAAATCATAGTTGTCATTCCTCATGATTGGAGAAGACACCATGATTGGTTGATTGTCTTACCTTCCCCATGCTTGTTTTTCCTTCCAACTTTCAGAATCAGTGTGATCTTCTAAGAGTTGCAAGAGAGCTCTTTCAAATAATTCAATATTTCTAAGCTTCTGAGTACCAAGTACAGCTCCAAATAGGTCTTTTATTTCTGTGGCATTAAGAAAGAGATAATATAACTCTTTCCAATGAGTTAAAGGCACTACCTCTTTTGACACAGCTATCATTTCTTTCACCATATTTCCAATATTTACAGCATAATTTTTACTGCTCATTCTACAAAGGAAAGACTTCACTGCAACAGGATTAGCAACAGGCCATTTTTGGAGCTCTTCAAGTTCAGTTCTGCAGAATGGAGATAAGTAATGCAAATACAAATAAGCATTCATAGTATAATCATGATAAAACAGCTGTTGAAGCTTCTTCAGCTGATTTGTCCAGTAAGAGTCTGTAAACCACCCAGGAGTTTCTTCAAGATGATTTGGGTTATCAACTAACCACCTGATGACATCAACAAGCTGGATAATGGTGCTGCCTAATTCTGACCACTCCACTGGTTCCGTGTTGTTAGCCTACATCCCAAAAAGAGTTAAAATATACTTGTAGAATATGTTTCTATTTCTTTCTTGTTTTAAAACAGTCAAAAGATGTTTACTGCATGGAAATAAAACCAATTTCTCACCTTAAGTGGATTGTAAAGAAAAAAAAATCCATGTTTTAATCTCTTAACATGTCAAAAATTATAAACTGAATGTTTCTTGAACTGTACATTTGATATCCAAATTATTTCTTATGGTATTATTGTCACATACAAAAAATAATTAATATTACATGTATAAAAGAAACACAGAACCATCATGTTAGACCAAAATGGTGGATAACAGTGATTTTTTAAGTGTTATGTTAGTTCTAAGCAATGTATTTCTTTGAACAGATAGTTTAGATTTACTAATTCTCGAATTCTGGAAAAACACACAACAGTTTGGGACCTTAATAAGGTCTTAACAAAATCATTTAGTAAAAATGTTGATCATGTTTTCTTTATTTACACATCTTTAATATTTTGACTATGTTATGGCTGCATTTGTATATTAACTAAAACTGTACTTTCTAAACAAATTTCAAAAGTTTATCCTTCTCAAATACCTTCCAAAAAGTTTGGAATGTTTTGAAACTCTACATCATGTGCTAAACAGAGAATATATATTTCTTTAGTTTTAATACATGTACAATTTTTAGGGTAATTTTGTTTGACTTACCAGTTGTGTGAAGTTCTTGACATTGGCTACTTTCTCCATTTCTTTTTTAAATCTGTCAAAATCTATAGCACAGAAATTAGAGGTAAAATTATGCCATCCTTCTAGTGATTTAGCAAAAGGAAAGAGTGTATCTGGATTTGGAGGGCTACAAACATGGGTCCAGATGGTAGTCACACTGAAGTTGTGAGTTTTCAATGCTTCAGGAAGCAATTCCTTTACACAGAAAATATAATCAATCAGATAAGTGAATGAAAATATTTAGAATCAATTACAGTATTTTTCTCTTATAAGTGAATTGTGTGCTGTGAGCTTTAAAAAAAAATCTTCCAATAATTTGGTTGTTAAAGCAAAAGCAATATCATAAGTTTATTTTTACCAACATGAGTCCTATACAATTATTGTTCCATCTTAAACAATTATCTGTTTATAAATCCTCTGTAGAAAAAACAGTGCAGGTGACAACTGTATATCAAAAACAAAAACTAAGTAACGTTACTGTGTGCAAATGTAATCATGGCTATCAATGTCTTCATGTGTACCAAAGGTGCTAATTGAAATATAAAGTATAAAAATAGTAAAGCTAAGAATGCCAATATCATTACTAATCCAGAGCAGAAAAAGTACTATGTGTGATGTAATTTCAAATGGCTCTATTTATAATATTACAGAGGCCAAAAAAAAAAAAATTTAGAGAAACATCTGATGACACACAAAAGCAAATCTATCAAAATCAATTTTATTTTACAAGCATGAATAAAAGTTTCAAATTTTGTTATAATTCCCTGTGTAATCTCCAAATTTCCTTAAAAAACAACAAATAAACAATGTACGTTTCTATTGAATTCCCATTCGTGCTAACCACATACAGTATAAAATTTTATTTAAAACTTGTCTAATTTTTACATAAGAAAAATAAGATAACAGTACACAGGCAAAGGGCCTGCATAAATATTACATATAATTAAAATCTGGTGAATAGTCTTAGGTTTTGTAATGAAGACAACAACATACAGATTTTAGAAAACAAATAATGATAACATAACGAAACAATGTGACATACTGAAGGCACAAACCTCATAAGCAGAAAAATATGATCCCACATATGTTGTTATAATTTCAGGAAGAAAAGAGATGATCATTTTTAAAACTTTCTGGATTTCTGGGGAATCTGGGAAAACATCTCTAACAGAAAACCTTGTGGTTCCTGATAAAGAAAGTTTTAAATTACTAATCAATTGTTTAACATTTTAAATCAGCTTATTACCACAAAGAAAAACTAAAAAAGCAAAATTACCAAATCAAATATCTTCACTAATTCTCTATTCAATATTTCTTTTTATCAGAGTTAATATACAAGTAAATGAGGCATGTAGATGAAACTTAACTAAGACTATAGAAATATAGTTAATCTTATAAGAGGAATCTTTCAAAAAACTACCGATCATGTAAACATTTTACAGGATTAGCTCTACTGTATGGTATTGGAACAAATCAGCATTAGTTTATTAATTATCAAAACAAAGCAACTTATAGCTACCACATACATAAACAATAGTCTATAATATACAATATAAATATTCTCTGTATCTACCATTCATTTTTAAGTATTCCAATCTTGCCAGCAACAACTGAAGAAACTGTTGTGCTACATGACCAACTTGGTGATTTTCATCTTGTAAGAAGTCAAAAATGAATGGAATTCTGTGGGGAATAAAGAAATGGGCCCATGCTTACAAGACTTACAAAATCATTAAAATTCTTAAAATACTTGGAAAACAAAATTTAGGAACATAATTCCTGTGTTAAACAGATTGAGTTTTTCAATTAATTCTGGTAGTGAACGCTTTTGGGTTTAGATTCATTTTGTCACAGACTTGTGTCATTAAATTTGCTAAGTAAATTGAACAAAAACTATTTTTTTATGCTAGAATTTGGTAAGTTCAAAGTTAGACAGAAGATCTCAGAAGTTTATAACATAAAATATTTTTAAACAGACACAATACTTACTTTAAATTATTTAAACTTTCTGCATATGTTTTGAAAAAAAATCATAAGCTTTGATCAGATATAATGAGGTGTTTTCAGATTACCTCTAAGTATAATGAGGTGAATCTTAACATTACCAAAATATACTAGTAATATTCATCTACTTACAGTTTCAGTGTACCCTCCCAGTCACCAGAGTGTTGAACATCCCCTAAAATTTCAATAACTTTGTGATGTATGGTGTCAAAAGTCTGTTTTTTTATTCCAGGGTATAGCTTGAGAAGTGACTTCACCTGCATCATATCTAATAAATTACTGATGAGTTCTGGCCAGATATCAGATCTACCAGCTGCAGCCTCAGATACTAGAGATTCAAATCTCTGTCCTGAAGTGACAATATTTGTGATGAATTGCTCCTTCCTCAGGTCACATAAGAAATCTTCAGTTGGTGTAGTATTTAATTGTTTCAAGCATATTCTATGATCATACAAAATATCTGAAAAAAAAACTGTGGTGATGGCACTAACAGCAGTGTATGTTATGACAGCAGGGTTAGCAGATGTCTTTGACATGTTGTAGTAAATGCCCAACCATACTGTAGGATCCAACCAGCGAGTTCGTGGGTCCATTATTACTTTTGGATTATTTAACAGCTTCTGCACTTCAACTGCTAATTTAGACAATATAGTAGCAAACTCATCCCAGTCAACATTCTGAAAGAGATGTCAAAAGAGAAACTATTAACCGCTGAATAATCATTTTCCATTGAGGAATTTCAATGTTAGCTAATTAAAATAATATATACTTAATTAAATGTAAATATTTTATATTAATTATGTTTTTATACAACTTTCTAGCTATTAATTTAAGCATTATTAAGTGTTAAACATCTGAAGAAAAGCATAAGTTTAGTTACAGGCACATTTTGGAGAAAAATCATGTAGCTATAAATGTTAGTCTTTAAGAAAATTATGAATTGTAAATGTTGAAAATTATGATTACTTGATACTTTAATGATTAATGTTTACACACAATATATTACAATTTTTTCTTTATAATGCTAGAGTTGATGGTATTTATGCTCTCAAACGCATGTGGTAATTCAAGGATAAACCTATCACACAATCTGATCTTTGCAACAACTAGAGATTGAGGATTGAGTACGTATAAGGAAAGGCACTGTGATTTGTAGTGGTGGAGTGAAACAAACATGACATGGTATACATTTGAAATTAAAATGAAACACTATTATGGAAGAACAGAAAAAAAAAATAGATGATTTTTCTAATGGAAAGATTACTATGAGTTATTAAAATTAAAATGTCAGATAAATAATGGAGTTAAGCTGTATTTAATTAGACACAAATAAGAGATGACAGTATGGAACAAAAAATATACAGATAAAAATAAGCTCTCTCAAGATAAGAAATGAATCTGTTTGAAAATGCTAAAACCGCATTCACAATTCATGGCACTTTGTACATGTAGTCTTGGAACTTACAAACGTGATTCATTTTAAACTCTGAGAACAGCAGACTTATTTTTGTCCTAAAGGAGCTAAGACTTGTGTTAATCTTTTATTCATTATATTTGGTGATTATGTGAGTTAACTTTACTTGACCCTGAAATTAAGACCAAAAATATCATTAACAGTGAGGATAACCAACTGATGAAACAATAAATTCTAATTTATATTCTAAAAGTATATTCAATGAGCTATACTGATTGTCAGGTTGATTTTTAATTTTGCTCTATGTATAAAGCATGTACTGATCAGAAGTTAATATTAATTTAAATTCAGATGCTTTTACTTTTCAATTAAGCATATGATATTGTAATCCCTACTAACTGCATGATCAGCAAACCTTCAAATCATCAGTAAATAAAGTGTCTCATTTTCTTGCTTCAAATCTCCACACTGTGTCTTATCTCCTTTGATCACTTACAATAGGTCAATGCAATATTATCTATAGGAAATATACTAACCATTTTCAACATTGCACTAACTATTAAAATACCATTTCAATTCTAAATAAAACTTAAAGGTACAGAAAGACAGCTCAATTTTTCATATCTACTTTCAACCCTCTTCTCACATTTTACGTAACATACTAGGAAATCATATTTATCCTACCTCTCCTCTAGGATAAAACTGATCTTTTAGTTCTTCTGCTATACTTGTGTAGTTCAAATCACAAATAAGAGATTGCAGTTTTAACCACCCATCTTGCGAGAGTCGAGGATTATAAAGGTATTCCTGGATCGGCCCTTCACAAAGTATCTCTTGAACATTAGTCAAGTTACTTGAATGTAGCAGTGGTCTTACCTGCAAAAACATATGTAAACCAAAAATAAGTAAATGTAT